AATCAAATAAAATTCAAAAATTTTGAATTTTTGAATTTTTGAATTCAAAATTTCAAAATTTTCAAAATTTCAAAAATTTTGAATTTTGTTTGATTTAAAAAGGAAAAAATTTTTGAATTTTTGAAATTTTTGAATTTTTAACTTCAATTTGTACAGACAAAGATAGCCGAAAGGCCATCCCCAAATAGACCCTAAAGGTCCTACGTACCTAGTATTATATTGTATTATATTATATTTATCCTATTGAAGTCGTGCAACCAGCGGGTGTTTCATGGTCTCAGCATCGGAGAACCCTGAGGTTTCCGCACCAGCCTCGCCTACGTCGCCGAGGTTTCCGGTTCCTGATGGCCATGTCCTCGCTGAGAAGCTAGGAGAGGGATCGCGGGATCACTCGATTCACCAGTCTTGTTCCTGAAGATGGGCTGCACTGTCTGAGACTCCCGAGGAGGTGGAAGAACGGCTGTCGTTTACAGAGTCGTTCGGAAGTCCGACAGCCACTCCCGCGCGGCTAAGTTCGTGCACCGTCTTGGAGATGAGGAAGAGGTTCGGAAAGTCACCACTCAGGACGCTCAGCATGGTTCCATCGGCACTTGGGCCAGTCAGTTTCGCATGTCGCGTTGTTTGTGAAACGGGCATTCTAATGTTTCTGAATTCTCCGCATTCTGCATTCAGTTGTTCACAGGCTTTCATGACGGTGGGCTTCGTAGTAGCCTTGGCGAGTCACTGTCTTAGGAGTACGAGCTTCTGTCTTCTTTCAAGCACAGTGGCATAGTCGAGGCGTACGGCGCCTTGGCTTATGGCCTAGGGTCAGGGTTGCGAACTGCAGCTCTATCCTTCTTCCCTGCTTGCCCAGCTGAGGCCTTTTCTACTCCGCAAGCTCGATGTGTCTCCTTCTGGAGTTTTGCGAGCAAGGTAGTGTGGTCTCCTCAGAGGTATGTAGGAAGCATTAGTAAGTTGTTTTTGCCGTCATGAGATTTTGTCCAATGACGACCGGACTCGCTGTTCTTTCTGCCGCAGTTGCAGCGATACCTCGAGCAGAGCGGGCTCTTCGAAGAGAGACATGCTCTTGCCCTTTTCCGACAGCTGCTAGGACCCGATCCTCTCCACTGCTTTGCGCTTCCGTCGCACGGGGCCTCTTCTCCTTTGCTTCAGGAGCTGTCGACTTCTTGCACCAGAGAAGAATCGTTCATAGAGACCCTTGGATGCGGCGGCATGCTTTGTCACCTATGAGCATCCATCCAGTTCGTCATGTCTTCTGACGCTGAGGACATCAAGCCTGACAATTGCCTCTTGACGGACGGGACAAGAAAGTTGAAACTCACTGACTTCAACAGCGCGAAGGCCTTCCTTGAAACTATAGAGCATCTGATACTCCGTCTCTTCACTACTCGCGCCAGGTTATCGGCCAAGGTGAGGGCAGCGCAGCAATGCTTAGCGATCGGGGCACGAAGGCGGATTGCTTGTGTGTCACAGACGACTCATGGAGTGGTCAGATGAATAGCTGAAAGAAGGTCCACATCCGATTGTCGGTAACCACCAGTGTTCTCAGGACTTTGCAGCACCGGAATTGCTGTTGGGTGGCCTGTGGAGCCTTGACGGAAGTTCGAGTGCCCTCTGCGCAAAGAAATGCAGTGCTTGGGTGAGAGTGAGTGCGAGTTGGGTTTGCATCCGCTGCGCCGTTCTTTTTCGAATAGCTCCAAGGAATGAACGTGTGGACATCTGGGCAAGCGGACTTTGCTGGAGCCTTTTTGAAGATGTGCATTGCAGCATAGTACCGATAGCAGTGAGCAACAGTGTTTGGCTTTCAGGTCTTTGCTTCATGCTGCAGGGTTCTCATCCGTGGAACTCTTTGCAACAAGCGAAAAAAGCTTTTGCGGCTGGATGCCTTCCACCCGTTGCTAGACAAAAGGCATATTGTTCCGGTGAGCCAGCTATGTGAACACTTATGCATGTTGAAGTGAGAAAGCTTGCCCTGAGAGTCAGGTAGACTGGACATGTGTGGAACCGAATACAGCTGACCTTCTTCAGTCTTGCCTAGTGGTCAATCCCTTCAATCGTCCACCGGAACGGACCTCAGAAGTTCGAGGGCGTTGTTTCTTTGCTGCTGGACGTCGGCCGCGTGCTCTGACTCCTCGTGTTTGTCAGGCAATGAAAATCTTGAACCATGGAGCGTTTCAAGGCGGTGTCCATGTTGCATATAGCATTGATCTGTGCTTAGAGCCTGCTGTTCTGATTCGTGCAGGTTCTGGTATCGATGTGCCCCCTGCAACCACCCTTCGGCAACTTGTCTTGCCAGTACCGGGGGAAGGTGATTTTGCATCCTGTGTCAGTCGCGAGTACAAGTAAAGTCGCGGAGCATGTGCGATGTTGCTTGTCTTGCTCAGGCACGATATCGAAGAAGGCAGAACAAAGTCAAAGCCACGAAACCTAGCTCAGACATACGGCCTTGCGCTTAGTGGATGTTGCAGTCACAGGCCCTGCCCTGCCTATTCTGCATAGTCACAGTATAGTCACGATTCGCGCGGTTTCTTTTTCCTCCGTTCCTCAGGTGCATTATGCAGTCCTGGGCGGCGACTTGCCAATCTAGTCTAATTGCTACGAACCAGTTGAGCGTCAAGACGTCGGTCAGTGCATCTAACGTGCCCCCAGGCGGGTCAGCTATCACGGGTACGTCTCGTCGCAAATGGCCACTTGGCTGGTGCGGGCACTGCTGGGAATCCACCAAGAGTCCCAAAGGAGGCGTTCAAGAATGTTTAAAGCACCACAACGGCAAACTGGAACCAATGCGCCGAAGCCCATGGCATTATAACGGATGGTCAAGAGCAGTGGCCAATGCTGGCAGCACGAGGATCGCCCTTGTCACGACGAGGAGTCTTGCAAACTCCTTTTTGATTCAATGTACGCGCGCGCCGGTGTGTGTGCGTATGTACGAGCAATCGTGTGCTTGTCGTGTGAGAGTTTGTATGCTCGTGCGCATGCGCTCGTGTGGGTGGCCTGTCGGTGTCTGTGTGGGCACAGCTTGTTCAGCAGTCAATACGATGCCCCCTTAAAGCGGTAGCGGGGCCATCAACTGCCCCCAATGCCAGAAGCCCTGGAAGCCTGCTATGCCATTCTGTAGGGTCCAGAACGCCAGCCCCATGATGCTGACACCGACGACAACAATAGAGACCCTCCCGTGAGTATGCGTGTTTTTGTTTGGTGTGGTTGTGGGGTCGGTGAGCGCAGACCAACACCACGTGCATGGCAAGATGGCGAAGAACTCTGCTTGGATGATTAGCTGCAGATGTTGGGCCTAAAGTTGTATTGTAGCTTCAGTGATGACCTTTTGGGAAGTCTTTCTTGCGCACTCAACTGTAAGTCCGTGGTATGTGTGCGACAGTAGAAGGATCTGTCTTTGGGGAGACGCGAGCTTGCACCTGCAACAATACGAGGCTTCAAGGAAGTTCAACGCCGCTCCGTCTCGTTGTCGGAATTCCCGGCGAGAAGGCCTCTGCTCGCAAACATGGGAACTCTGGCTTCTTGACTGTGCTTCTACTGCATTGGTTCCCTTGCGCAGGAAAGGTGAGCAACGGCCTGACATAGGCCGTGTACGGACGGCATAGCCTCTCAAATTCCAAATATTTATTATGGCTTTTTGCAGTCTGGGCCGTTTTCACGGCAGGCCCAGCAATAATAGCAACCTGGGCAGTGCTGCCTGATGTCGATGTAAGCACCGACGTATCAGATCATGATTTGCCCGCTTCTCGCAGAAAACTCGTTTTCAACATCGCCGCCGATCATACGTTCTCACAAGGTTGTCAGTTTGCCCAAGTATGTCTTAGAGCCTTAGATACGTGCAGGTTGTATTCCTTGTTCTGGTGGCAAGGCTTGTTGGAGTACAGGCGATTCCCCCTCAAGCGGAGCGGTGGCCGACAGATTTTGGAGTCCAGGAGTTTCAGGTTGAAATCCGCCCTACCGGGAACCGGAGTGCCACAGGCAGCGGACGGTGTTTTCGAACGTCTCACAGTCGAATGCGGACAATGTCTGGTCGGCCGGTGACGGAAAACATCTTAATCTTGGTTGTGCTCAGCTGGACTTCGCGCTGGGAAGTCATGCTCCGCCAAGGACCAGCGCTTACTGTCTTTTACATCCACGCTCTCCGTGCTGGCTGTGATGCTTGTGGGCAGCCTACCAGTCAGAATGTGTAGATGCCGCGGTGCTGCTACATGCTGTGCTCATCATGTTGGCGGTGTTGACGGGGATCTCGGTGGTAGTAGCAGTCGTCGTCGTAGTAGTAGGAGTGAGTGAGGTGCAGTAGCAGTTGCAGTAGTCGTCGTCGCGGAGTGGTGTTGCTGGTACTAGTAGTAGTAGTAGTAGTAGTAGTAGTAGTAGTAGTAGTAGCAGTAGTAGCAGCAGTAGTAATTGTAGTAGTACCAGCAGCAGCAGCAGCAACAGCAGCAGCAGTTAGTAGCAGTAGTAGCAGTAGTAGTAGTAGTAGTAGTAGTAGTAGTAGTAGTAGTATCAGTAGCAGTAGTAGTAGCAGTAGCAGTAGCCGTAGCCGCAGCCGGAGCAGTAGCAGTAGCAGTAGCAGT